CAAAACAAGGATTGGGTACCATCACGGAAGAATAAACGTGCTCACTGAGATGCTGACTGAGTGCTCGGCTGTCAGTGACTCGTTTACTTCTCAATCATTCAGACTCTCACGAAACAGTGAATGGTGAGGAAGATGGCTGTTCATATTCATATGAAAATTACTCATTGAACCTAACTGTTTTGCGCACTGGAGATAGTCTCCCTAGACATGTCGAGAGCCTACGACACAACGTGGTGACCCGGCATTTTACGTACCCTATCAAACTGGAAAATATCAGGACGAATGATGAACATCTTATTCAGCTTTCTCTTGGATAGATACTTTCAAGTAGCTGCTAACGGATCTACCTCAAGTCTCAGAGAAGCACAAAAGGGTGTACCACATGGATCTGTGACTTTGTTTCAAGTGCCCATGCAACCGATGTTCTAGGAAATACCCCCTGATGTTGAAATTTTACTGTACGCTGACGGTTATCCTCATAGTGAAGGGTAAGAATAATGGAACAATTCGTCAACTTCTAAGGCAAGCCGTCCACGCCGCTACCGAATGGGCACCCAGCTTGATGCCTGCCGCTTACAGCATCGAAAAGAAGGTCGAGCCATCAAGATAGACTCCAATTCCACGGGTACGAAAAATGAAAATCCTCGGTGTTCTAGTAAACGCAAAGTTCAAGGCAACATCTAACATCCGTGAAGAGCAACTGTAGCAGAAGGATCCACATGTTACGGGTATTAGGATATCGGATAAAGAGAAGCTGTCGAATCACTCTGTTAAAAGTGGGCTCAGCGCTGGTTGTCTTTAAGCTATTCTTCGGATTAGGACTCACCAGCACCAACATCGAAGACATGGAACAAATTTTGGGACAAACTTACAACGAAGTAATACCAACAATCAATACGAAACTAACGATTTTAAATTGGCTCACCACTTTAGTAGCCTATTGGTCCCAAGCAAACGATTAACGTACCCTATTCTAGTTGAAATTCTATTACTACACTATGTTTGTTTTGATTCGCTATGAAAGTTTGACAGATAACATCAGGGGTGTGTGGATTCATGCAGAACATGCAGGGGTGAGTGAAATAGCTTGGAACTGCTTGGGACCGTTGTTCTGGTACTGAGTGAGCCAAAAATAATAATGATTTTCTTCAGGACCCAGTGGTCTTAGAGTAACCTCTATGGTAATACGTCAAGCATCTGGGTCTTTCACAACTAGCCCAGTCATCTTCATTATGGTTGAATCCGGATATTTTCCTTTTAGGCTAGCAATTGGCATTGACGGCGACTCTGTAGCTCTTTACTCCTATGAGAAAATCCATAAGCAAACGTCAGACTGTGCGTGAAACATGGCGGACTTTGTACTATCCTTTCACTCCACTGAAAATTCCCATAGGAAACTGTCTAAATTTGCTGGAAGAGCAAATTTTTCGACGGTGCCGTCAACGCCAATAATTCGCCTTGACACCAGTCCCGAAGTGACGTTTCTTCACACACATTTTGACAATTCCTTATGGGGTTTAGCGTTGGAGTGAGAAAATACGAAAAAGTCCGTCATGTTTCACACATAGACTGACAGTTACATATGAATGAGATTTCTCCATAGGAGTAAAGAGTTACAGCGCTCTCGTCAACGCCAATTCGCTGTTGTTTGCTTAATGCAAAAAGTACTGTGGGAGGATTTAGTAACGGGTACGAATATGAGACCTCACTGCAGGAGGAAGACGAATGACCACGTGCCATCCGGGAAGGAGGACCAAAAGCAATGGGAGCAATCCTACTCGCAGTAGGTAGAATGTAGAATTCTGGTTGGTGGCCATAGTTACTACTCCCGAGACTACTCTAAGGGCAAATGCAATATGTCGTGATTGGGCTGCAGCTGGTGAGAACCTACTTGACGGACATTCAGATATCAGAAACTGTTTCGTAGCGTTTGTCTTGTTTTTGGCAAGAAATCTTCATTTTTTAGTATTTGTTCCTCCTGATGTCTAAGACCAAAAGGTCCCGAAGAAACGAGCTCAACTTTTTGGCTCAGCTCTGGTACTTTCTTCGGTCCCAAGCTAATCGATTCACCCCTCGAAACATAGGAAAATCCACTAACCCCTCATTTTATCTGTCAAACTTTCATAGCGAATCAAAAAAAAAAACAGTGTAGTACTGGAATTTCTACTAGAATAGGGTACGTTAGTCGATTTGCTTGGGACCAATAGGCTAGTAAAGTAGTAAGCCAATTTAAAATCGTTAGTTTTGTATTGATTGTTGCTGATGCTGCTACATTCGTGGATCTCAACCGGTTCCGGACTTCCTTTTCTTCGGATTAGAGGTTTTCAATCCAGATCCAGAATGTTTACGTATCCCGGCTATTACAGGACGAATGTAAACATTATGAGCAGTGGTGCCAGAATTGATTAAAAAATTTGGGTTGTTCTTATTCGCCATGCACAACCAGCAGAGATCTGAAGTTTATGAATTGCACAAGTATTAGTGCAGAACTTTGGGTGAATTGAAAGGTTTTCTTGCACTAATACTTATAATTTACTCCAAGTTCTGCACTAATACTTGTGCATTTCACATACGTCAGAGAAGTCTATGATGGCAGTTTTCACGAATGCCAGTAAGAGCATTTATTTTTGATGGTTGCCAAAAACACTTTTTGTGCCTCCACTTATCCTTGGTGTATAGATTACACAGGAAAAAAAAGTTGTTGAATATTACATCCAAACTGCTGCAACCAGGTCAATCATCGGTTGTGTAATATAACGTTGTACGATGTACATCGATTTTGCGAACAAAACTACATCCATTGATGTAATATTGTATCTGCTTTTTGCTATTACATCATTATTTCAAACATCAGCTTGAATTACATTGACCGATATTACATTTTTTTTGCTGTGTATCATGCGGTGGAGGGTGTTTGAAGACAAGTGCGTTTTTGTGGGTGTTAGCATGTTAGCACAATGTGGCAGACTGACTTACCCCCTGATCGATCGTGAAAAGTTATAAACAGTTTTTGAGTGGATCAATGAAAATGCTGAGGTTTTGACAGAACTGTGCTGTGGCTACCACAGTATTTTACATTTGATTGTCCATATGCAGTAGCGCCAAAAGCATGCTGTGGTGGGTTCAAAACTTGACCATCTAAATTGATCCGTTGCGTCCTTCACTTGTTCGTTTAACAAATTCACTAGCGACACCCAGCGGTGGAAACCGACAACTATTGTGTGGTAATAAGAGCATTTTCGAGTTGCGTCTTTCACTTATCGACGCGTCGAAGTTACACGATTGCAAAGTGAACGACACTTCGAAGTTTCATGATTGCAGCCCAGTGTAGCGGTATAGAGATTTTCGAAAAATCGGCGCTTTCACTTCTTGCCTTGCTTCGAGCGGTGAGAAAATCTCGAAATTTTTGTTCTCTTTAGTAATAGTGACATTAATAATGTATCGGGTAAATTGCACCATTATTGAATTTTTTAATTAATTATATGATTTGAGTAGTAGCTATACTGAAGATCCGAGAGATGTCGCCCCTTCAGTGGTAGGAAAATCTTTTTGCAGTATGGATAATATCAGAAAATCCACGATTTGTGACTAAACATGCTTTCACAGAAGGAAACAAATAAACGAGTGTTTACCTTATCACCATAGTAATGTACTCGTGCAATTTTTGTGCATCTAAAACTGCCCATAAAGACGATAATGAATAAAAATTGAAAATTTTCATGCATTTCCAAATGGTTTCCTACCATTCCCATACATTCGGAAGTGACTGGCCCTCTGGATGTGGATGATATCAAAAACAATAAAACATGATTAAATTAAAAGTTAATGTTGCCATATATTCTGGTGATGAGTGCTGTCAGAAGCAGCACGGCAAAAATACTTTCCTTGGAAAAGTAAGTATGTGCCCAATATTAGGAACACTTAGGCCTAGATTACACTGAAACAAAGATAATAGTTAGGAATACTATTTTGCAGAAAACACTTATTTTCAGTATAACTACGCTTAAAACCGTTAAATCTACCATGATTTCAGTATAATTGACTATAAATATAATCAAATTTACTACCATTCTGTAAAAACTATTATACTTACACAAACGGCATAGTAGTTTTGATAGAAAAAATAGTAAAATTAAATGAATTTCGTTTCTGCAAAAATCTATTGGTGGGAGTATTTAATTTAAACCATCAACATAGTATTTTTGCCAATGGATTTTGTTTCTGTGTAGGGACATCATCCCTATGGATCTAAGATTGGGCCCATCGCTAAAAATCTGCTATTTATCAATTTAATCTAGATGAACGCGTTATTGGGACGGTACACATGGATATTTTTGGTCACTATTGAAAATTTAGTCGATTGGTGAATTTATGTATGGACCCAAATTAGGGGCATTTAGGCCGACATTACATCCATTTCCCCTACTAAACAGTAGACTAGAATGGTTAGTCCTACTGGAGCAGGGTTGTGAAATTGTATGCATTACATACCATTAATTTTCTTTTTGTATATATGTATGTATTACTTTATTTACGGTAATTTAAATTAATACGACAAGAATCTTCACCTATACAAGCTGCATCTCACGCATTGCATCCATCCCATCACACGCGATGCAGCTCGCGAAGGACACTGAACTTTTAATTTAAAAAGAAAAAACAGCTTTCATGCGCTTACTTACGCACTTCTAAACTAAATAATGGTCTGCTTCTTTTTTTGGAGAGTCACAATGATTCACAATGCTATAACGAAAAAAAAAAGAAGAAATAGCTACTAGCCCCTCGTTTGTTTTCCATTCTGCACTTATCTTCTCTTTTTTTAGTGTTGGTAATTAAATATTCTTACTTTATGTACTAAAAGGGAAAACTCGGAGGACGATAGTTTCTTCTGCTCAATTAAATTTAATGCTGGTTTTGTTCCGCCTTAGCCATACCGTTTTGCACTCGCGCATTGATGGTTGGACTGAGGAAATAGTTGTAAGAATCGAAAACACCGTTCGTTTGATTTTTGGGAAAGGAAGGCGCTTTACTAGCAGACTATTTTCGGGATTGTAACGCATTCGCTAGCCAATCCATTGCTTGGTCCAGACCCTCGCCTTTGGTAGCGGATGTTTTGAAGATTTGGAACGTTCGGTTCTTTAGCGCTTCGAGTCCGAGCGCCTGGTGCACTTCTGCCACGCTCATGCATCCTTCCATGTCCTGTTTGTTCGCTAGCACTACCAGAATTGCTCCCGCCAGTTCGTCTTCCTGTGTTCAAAATGAGGCGGATCAATATAATCCTAGTCTGCGGCCTTGCCTGAGAGGTCTACTTACCCGTAACATGTACAAAAGCTCATCCTTCGATATACCTATCCTATCCTTGTCTGCAGAATCGACAACGTAGATGATAGCGTCTGTGTTACTGTAGTAGCATCGCCAATATGGCCTAAAATTAAACGAAGACGTTGTAGTTCGATTTGGAACATTGTTCCCCAACACACGTACCTTATACTGGTCTGACCGCCGAGGTCCCACACCTGAAACTTGAGGTTTTTGTATGTGACCTGTTCGACGTTAAAGCCGATTGTGGGAATCGTTGTGACCACCTCGCCCACCTGCAACCGGTACAGGATTGTTGTCTTGCCGGCACCGTCCAGTCCCAGGATTAAAATTCGCATCTCGCGATTCCCCAGAAGGCCACGGAAGTAGCTAAATAAGCCTCCTGCAAACGAATGGGACGTAAGTGATAATTGCCGCGGAGGAAGGTCCAAAAGCGAGTGCGATGCTCTCTCATCATCAGCATTAAATGATCGCGCACATACCGAGAGAAAGGCAAAGAAAAGCAGCCCCAGATTCGACACTTTCCATCGGCACTGACTGTAAACATTACTCACCCATATTTTCCCTGTTTGCAAGTTTTCTAAATGCACTGCACTAGGCGAGTATTCGAATTGAAATTCCTCCTGGCGATGGTCCACGGAAAAGTCCGGCTACTGGTGTTGCCGATGGGGAATGTTTTACAGGAAAATATCCTCGGAAAATCGCTAGAACGGCTGGAAAGAAAAACTAATGACGAAAATCCTGCGACTGCAACTGCGCTCAGGTATGGAAATTTTGACAGGACGATGACAATTGACGTGTTCAAAACGAAAACCGAGACGAAAACCACGAAAACGCAATCGCGGCGACCGTAGAGCCGGGCGATATCATTGTTGACAGTCGAATTTGGAACGGGGTGTTGCAAGAAAAAGCAATTGCGTGTCATGCGCACGGCAGCCACATCAGTGCACTAAAGTCCTCTAACTAAAAGTATGGACGTTTGTGAAAAGTTGTTCCAAATATGAGTGGTGCGTGCGGAATCGATCAGTTTCAATTTTCAAGTTATTTTGCATGGAAAATATTATTTTCTTGCCTCATCCTCTCACCGTCACAAATTGGCGTTTTTTTCTATTTTTTCGTTCGTGACTTTTTCATTATTTGTTTACACCCCGTTCACACACAGCAAAAAAAATGTAATATCGATCAACGTAATTCAAGCTGATGTATGAAATAATGATGTAATAGCAAAAAGCAGATACAATATTATATCAATAGATGTAATTTTGTTAGCAAAATCGATGTACATCGTACAATGTTATATAGAGATCTCCAAGCGCAATCTCACGAACACTAAAATCCAACATCCATACATAAAAATAAAGAAGAAGAAGAAACAAAAAGGTATCGCGATATCACAACTACTTAAAAAGGTAGCGCGTGGTCTCACGCACACTTTTGTGCATCTGGAGAACTCTATTACACAACCGATGGATTGACCTGGTTGCAGCAGTTTGGATGTAATATTCAACAACTTTTTTTTTCTGTGTATATCACGTAATATACGCTCTATTGCAATGAGCACTCATTCATCTAGTATTCACTGGAAATCCTATGTACGAGTTCTCATTGCAAGACAGCCTCTAATACGTTATATAGGCTGTAATGTGAACGGGGTATTTCAATTGCTTGATTAAGCCAATTTTTCGTAAAGTTAGGAATAAGCTTTAAAATGGTTATCAAGTAACAATCTGATCAACATCAAGTCAGACGGTCGAATATGCTTTTGATACTTTCCCTCCGACCCGTTTATTATGATGTTTAAGTTTTATTTGTTGAGGGTGTTTACAATCGTTAGTGATTATTGCAATGAATTAATCGCACTTTTTCATTGGTATGAATAAATTTGAACACTTTTGTTTTATTAGTTTACAATTTAATTAAAGGATAACATTTTAAGCGTTGATTCTAATATTTTTTTTTTCGAACGAATCTGTTTAAGGCGAGGTTTAAGAGACGTAAGCCTTGGTGTTGGTCCTGATCGTTGGATTTTTTACAGCACCAGTTGGATTTTTTGACAACCATTTGCAGTGACTCTGCACCACTCAGTTCCAAACGAACCGTCAAAATGCACTGCTTAGCTAAAATCGAAGACAACATATCCAGAAGACTGGCAGCTTTGCCTAAAGCGGTGCCGGTGGTGTAGTGGTAAGTGTGATTACTTCTCACCCCTGGGTTCAATCCCAGTCGGCGCCGCCGGGATGTTCTGAGGCATAACATCCCTGATGACGCCTTTCTTCGGAAGGGAAGTAAAGCCATAGAGGTAACTCTAAGACTAGAAGGTCCCGAAATAACGTGCTCAACTTTTTGGCTCAGCTTTGGTACTCTCTTCGGTCCCAAGCTAATCGATTCACCTCTCGAAACATAGGAAAATCCACTAACCCCTCATTTATCTGTGAAACTTTCATAGCTAATCAAAAAGTAGAAGGGTCTGTGCCTAGGGGCACAAACGGAAGCTTGACGTAGGACCGCTAGTCGACGGAATAAATGTGAAGAGCATTAAGTTCTTTTAATTGATCAAAATTTGATTTAATATCTATTATCTCAACTCTTTCCGGTTTTGAATTGTAGGCGATCCAAATTTGTAGTAATCTTTTTCAAAAAGAAAGTTGATTACGAGAATCAACAGGGTGGCCAGTGAATTTTCATTTTGAAAATCCCGGTTTTTTCCCGGTTTTCCCGGTTCAAATCTTAAAAATTCCCGGTTGTTAATATGCAACAAAAAAAAAACAAAATTTACTTATAGGATAAAAAAATGTGATTTAAGAAGATTCCCAAGATTCTGGAGCTTTGAAATTTGTGTAGAGTCTGAAACTAGAACTTTTCTTCAAAATTTGTGATTAATAACATGCTTCGTGATGCAAGATTTGGAGAAACAATAATTAAAATGTGAAATTTTGAATTTTTTTCAAGATCACAGATTTATAAAAAACATCATACTTATGAGTCGTGGAGTCATAATTGTCACGCTATGAGACTTGGAAGCATTTTAAGGGTAATAACAAATTACATAGCAATCTGTAGAATCTGGCGGACAAACCCTTGAATTTCTAGTAAAATTTAAAAGAATTCAAAGTGTTGATTAAAAACAAATATTGAGAAGGATTCCCACACAGTTTTCGAAGGAGAAGAACAGATTTCCAGAATTATTCTTACATGAAATCCATAGAAATTGTTAGATGAATTTGGAAGGATTTCTTTGGAGAAGAATGCAAGTTCTTAATTAAACTGTTAGGTAATTTTAGTTTAGATTTAAAAAAGAATTGTGAAAATAAAAATAAAACATTGCAGAAAATTCCTACGTGGTTCTGATGAGATTTGTATGGGCATTGTGTGGAACATGACAGATGAATTTTAAGAAGAATTCCAAGAGAATTATGATCGGAATTCAACAAGAAACAGAGTTCTTAAAATGTTCTGGCAATAATTTCAACCCTAGTGCGAATGATTCATCACGTAACCCAAACAAAATTGATTCCAAAAAATTTGCTGATAATTAGAAAGAAATTCTTTAAAATACTCCAAGGGGTTTATAAATTAATTTTCGAAAGATTTCTTTTGTTTTGAATAGAGTTAAAAGAAATGTTTGAAAAGATTTTTAAAGGAATCAAAGTCTCCCGATAGGCGGGAACGGGAATTATATGAAGGATTCCAATGAATTCTTAGAAGGAGTTGGAAGAAAATTCCTAAAAGAATTCAACGGTAATTATTACGCGGAGTGTTTTCTGGTTTATTTCAGAACAATTTCAAGATAATTCAGACCAGAATTCCAAGTTAATTCTGGAATTCATCATGAGAATTTTGAACAACGAAAAATAAAACCCCGGAAAAGAATAATTCAGTTTCGGTTTTTACAAATATTTGTTTCTAAAACTCCAGCATCTTCAATATTTTCTTTAGAGGACCATGCACTTTACATCTGAAATTGAAACGACAAAAATCAATTTGCAATATTGCTGAGTGATTAAATTCTAAAAACAATAAGACGGTATACTGAAGAAAATTATGCAACAAATAGAGCAAGACATTCATTTGCTAAAGGATCACTCTGTTTTAATGGTTTATTCTGAAATTCTGATGTAAAAATTTGTTCCTATGATATGATTAATTTATTTTCCCGGTTCTCTTGCAGAATTCACGGGTTTTTTTCCGGTTTTCCCGGTTACTTTTCAAATTCCCGGATATTTCCCGGTATTCCCGGATTTCCCGGTTTGCTGGCCACCCTGAATCAATCAAAATCACTTGCACCCCTGCTTCCAAGTTTGTGTGGTCGTTGGGGGCTTGTGGTTCTGAGTATGGACAAACAAGCATAGATAAATTCTATTCCAACTCTTTACTGATGTAAGCTTGATGGCCCTGAAAAGGGCCGTTTTATTGAAGAGGACATCCATGGCCACTTACGCTTGGCGTGTTTAGTGTAGGTGACAGCATCATGGACCTCATTTTCCACGAACACCTTCAGCACACCTCGTAGATCAGACCGGGGATACGTCAGACACTGCGACGGCGAGCCAGACGACGGATGGTGGTTATCACGAAGAATTTGCGATGACGATTGGCACCTCCTTTGCCACGACCTACTGCTACTATTGCTCACCACGCCGTCCGAAGCGAAAATGAGCTGATACCAGGTTGTTGTTTAAATGATCTTTATTTTAGTTTAACTTGGACGATTACCATATAAATTTTTTACTAAGTGATTTAATGATTTCTTCATCTTTAGGTATGGGCAAAATTCAAAATTTGTTTTACAGAATTAGTCCTAGACTTAGTACACGGTCGACCACCTTGGTGGGATTGGTTTGTTTTGTTTTTAGAATTTGAAGAGAAACTACTTAATACTACTATTTACAGCTTAAAACTAACCTACTCTACTATATACACTTAACCTACTATGTACAAATTGCTTATTAAAGCATGTTCAGAAAGATTGCATTTTTGAATAAATTTAGTTGTCATATCATCAATTTTGGAATCTACTTTGGGAATTTCTGCCTCTTGATGGAGGTCTGCTATTCTTGTGTCGAATGGACGATCTAGGATCATCCTCAACACTCTATTCTGTGCAACCTGGATTTTGTTCCTGTGGGTCTGAGCGCACGATTCCCACACCGGGGCGGCATATAAGATCGCGGGGGCTATGATCTGTTTGTAAACAGCCAGTTTGTTTTGCCTTGAGAGGCGGGATCTGCGGCAAATGAGCGGATACAAACACCTAACCAAGGCGGAGCACTTAACTAGGGTTTTCTCTATGTGCGAGCGGAACAGGAGCTTCTCATCGAACAACATCCCGAGATAAGTAACATCAGTGGACCACTCGACCCTTGTACCATCCATTATTACGGTACAGGAGGGAGACGGTTTAAGTTTTAATGATTGTCTGTGAAGGAACATGATCGCTTGGGTTTTCGAGGCGTTGATTTTGATTTTCCACGTGGTGGCATAATCAGTAAAGGTGTCAAGGCATCGTTGGAGCTTGTTCGTAATTTCACGAGGCATCCTACCCTTGACGGCTATCGCGGTGTCATCTGCAAACAGAAAGAACACGCAACCGTCTCCTAGAGGAGGGATGTCCGACGTGTAGATGCTGTAAAGCAGTGGTCCCAGCAGACTCCCTTGCGGAACACCTGCTGGGATCGGAAATTGTCCTGAAAGGGAACTATTCAACGACACCCTGAACGACCTTTGCTGGAGATAGTTACGGGTGATTTTCACAAGGTATGGTGGAAAGT